GGCTTTTCTTCTTTGTTCTCAGATCATTCCTAACCTAATATGACTTTTAAGTGTATAGACCATGAGGGAATTAGTTCATGACAAGTAGCAGCCGTAAAAACAGGAAAAATGTGCTTGCTTCTTAAGCTTATGTCCATGTACATATTTGGTTAAATCAGAATTAGATACACCCAGATTGGATGCATTTGAAAATAAACTTTAAATATAGTCAGTTTGTAAAAATGAAGTTTATTTATTAAACTACTACCTTTTTTATATCATTTCAGTATTTGAGTACAAACACGAGTTAGCACTGAGCTAGTTTTTGCCAGTATCTTCTAAGCAACGGTAACAGGTTAGGAAACATGGGTTTTTGAGTCCAGATCTTGATTCTGATCTCTGCTCTTCCCATTTCTCAGTTCTGTGACTTGTGGCAAGTTAATAACCAGTCTGGTTCTCCTACAAAATGCATATAGTTTCCTGGTGGTAGAATAATCTCAGGATGAGGATCAAAAGGAGATGGGCTCTCTGATGCAGTCCTTCATAAATGTGGGTTTTATCCCCGTTTTCCTGCCTGCTTTCTTCCCTTCCTTTCCCTTTTGTCTCTTTGTTTCCTACTCAGTGCAGAAAACATTTTGCCCCCATTAAAAATTCCATCTTCTTGTCTCTACACAAATCACACCTTTGAAATTAAATGTGTATGTCAAGTAAATCCTCTCATTGTTAAAGGGGAAAAGAAATGTTAACAACTAGCAACAGACAACTTTACTGAACTGTTTCATATGGAGGACAGCTGGGTTATTTGTAAAGGACTGCTTAAATACCACATAGTACATGTATATTTTGGTTTTAGGATTTAAATATTAATAAAACATTGTGAGAATGATTTGCTTGCTTTTGAAAATTGCTTAGTTATATTCTGAATTGTAACAATGCCAGGAAAAAAAAAATCAGATCTTGGGAGAGGCTGCGAAAATCCAGATCTTCCCAGCATTCCTCCTCCAACTAAGACTCCTGAAGGAGACTAAAAATGTTGCATCAGCCTGCTTGCTTCCATGAATGGCCTTCTCCAAAATGGAACTTTGTGTTCTTGGTTGAGAATAGGTAACCCAAGTTCAGGGTTCATTGTTCCATTATCTTGCTTGGGACATATGGTTTAGACATTAGTATGGCCCTGCTGACATAGATAGACCTACTGAAAAATTAGAACATTTTTGTCAATTATAATGGTGCTACCTAGGCCTATTATCTTGTGAAGATCAGTGGGGTACAGGGAAGCAGACTGAGCTACTTCCAGAAAGCTCTTTGGAGAGTATTTCTCTAATGAAGCACATACCAGTAGTGGTACATGTTCTTCCAGCCCATGTTTCTCTCTCTGACAGTCACATCTCCATTATTCACTTTGTCTACCTTAAGAAGCTTTATAATGAAACTTCTCTAAACCTTTCAAGCAGCTGGGTGCTAATTTTGCAAAGGATGGGGTTTGGGATAGTCCACCGGACAGCCTGGGTCAGGGCTTTGGTGACTATTCAGGCATTCAGTCCTTGATTGCATTGGACCAAAAGCAGACAGATGGGGCAAGTATAAGACGAAAGAGAGCTGTGCCAGATGCTTGGTGCTTTCTGACCTAATATCCCAGCCCTGAGAACAACCTATATATTCCATAAAGAAACCAGAGCTCAGAGACGTTTTAAGTCACCTAAGGTCACTAGGGCTCTGTGTTGCTTCTCCTCTCCCCCAGGACTCAGAGGGGCAAATGTAGATAGAAATGTGACTCCTCAGATTTTAGACTTAGGTTTTTCAGAAAGAAAACATATTATTACATATTATTTACATGTAATATGGGATGGGGAGGGGTGAGGGAGGGAAGAAAGGAGTAAGGGGGTCATCCCATATATACTCAGATTACAAGATATTTCTTTGTCCTAGAATTTGGCCTAAAACAGACAAAGAATACAATGTTGTTCCCAGTAGATGGTATAGAAGGCCTGGGTGTGAATGGACATGGGTTCAGCTGATGTGCATAAGCAGTATCTGCTGTGTTTGGATCCTGGGATAGGCCTTTTCCCATGACCTATATTTCTCATTGACTGCCCTGTAGGTTTGATGGCAGTACTCATACTGCAGATATGGACCCTGGAGCCTCAAAAGAAAGTGACCTATATTCTCACATAATTTTGTCCCTTTCCCCCAGGTATTTTTACTCAAGCCTGGAAGGGAGAGGCTCTTTTCAGCCAATATTATGAAGCAGCAGCTGCAGGCTGAAGTAGAAGACACTATGCTTTCATGCAACAGTACAACAGTTTTTTTCCTGGCTTCCAAACCTCATTAGCTGGGGGAGAGAGGGACTGCCTGCACTTAGGTATTCCCTGTGCATTGCATTTATGTTGTAAGGCTTTTACTAGATTCTAGTGAATCTACTAAAATACAGTTGTTCACGGTATATTTTATTTTTGTTTTGTAGTCTCCTCTAAGCCATGACCTCATCCTTAACCTGACTCAGGACGGGATCAAACTACTGTTTGATGCTTTCAATCAGAGACTTAAGGTAACTATAAATGACAACTAATGTTTCATGTCCAGCTGAGCTGGTCTTTCTGGAGCTGATTAATAAATGGGCATGGACTTTTTTGGTTCAGAGATCACCTCAACATAGGGTGCCTATTCCCTTAAGAAGTGGAAAGATAGGAATGGGTTGGGGTGGTTAGAAAGAGTCTAGGAAGAGCTGCTCCCCCAAGTACCAGAGGGGAAGGGGACAGCTAAAAGAGTGTTGAAGCTTTGAGGAATATGTTGTAGGGAAGGGGTTTTATGTTGAATAGGAAAACAAGGGAGGAGCTAAGTAGTTGGCATAGCATGCCCTGAGTGTGTATTTTAAAAGGTACTAAATCCTCGTTAGTACAGTGGTGGAGGGGAAAAAAGATACTACTACCAGACAGGACCAGATGACTTTTGTCAGGTTTACATATCTTTTTTGCTTTATTCCATTCTTTTTTTTCTTTATTTTAGTTTCAGATTAATACATCCCTATAATTAGGTTACATTGTTTGCGTTTGTTGGTAAAAGTCCAAGTTGTAATTGAGCCAGTGTGCCATATACCTACCCCTACATTGCACCTGTTGGGTGAGAGCTTACCAAACTATCTTTTCCCTCCCTCTATCCCCTCCCCCATCTACTTGAATTTAATTGTGTTTTTCACTCCATTCTTTGTGAAGTAGTGGGACTTGGGAGATAGGAAATAGAAACTGTTCTTCCTAGAATGTTGAGGCTGAGGTTACTATCACCAATAATGGATTGTTTCTTTTAACTCTGTTGAGGAGGTATAAACAAACAACTTGCTTGTATGTAGAGTTGTCTTAATTGGCATTCAAGTGCAATTTGCTAACACCTGTTTTTAGTCCAGGGTGTTTTTAATACACTCTGTTTACAAATGTCTGGGCCTCATAGGTTAGTCATATAACACAAGACTCATGCCTCAAAGTCACGAGGTTGAATGTGGGCTGTGGGCAGTGCTATGCCAGAACCATTGTCCTGGTTAAGTTGTTGAGTAGCTTTTTCAAAAGACTTGGGTACCTCCTAGTTACCATCCTCATCACAAGTGAACTGCTGATGAGAGAACACAGAACATGGAAAGCGAATCAGTATATGGAGTAAGAATTCTTCATTCCATCCTGTCTTCAATAGCCAGGAGTTCCACACTGGGAAGGGGCAAAGGGTGATCTTCATTGTGACATCATCACAAGTGGGGAAAAATTAATCTGGTAACATGGAAATGCCTTTACAAATAGTCATTTGCCTTTGATTTGATAAAAGTCCACTTGTTTATAGCCAAGCATTTCATAGTAATGAGAAGCTAGAAGTAACCTAAATGGGCAATAAAAAGGGATGTCCCATAGAATCACAGCATGGTGAGGACAATATCATTTGCTTAGTATATGCTAGGTACATGATAGTGTTTCACATGCATTTTTTAAATTTAATCCTAACAAGCCTGTTAGTAGCAATGAACAGGGTAGAGATGGGTAGTCTACCTGATACCAGGCCCTTAACCCTATATTACCAGCTTGTGGTGACTGGCCATTGAGAATGGGAGTGACTTAAGGCAGGCTATATTGATGGTATGGGTAATAAATAGGTGAGGAAAGATGAAGAAAATACTGTGCAGAGAAATAGGAGGAATGGAAAGTACCTTTGAAGAAGAAAGGAAGTAAAATAGATCCTAATAGTCCTCTTCTGTCTTCTGTGGGATCCCTATGAAGAAGGGACTGGAGCCCTGCCTGAGTCTTCGGAAACAAAAGAAATGAGCACCCAGCTCTGACTTGACCTATCTGCCTCCCTTCTATCCAAAGGCTTCTGAATCTTCCCCTTCTGATGCAGTCTCTTACAGTTGCTCCCCTGCCCCCACCAAGCCTGAGAGAGAAAGAGCCCTGTGGAATGAGGCTTTATAAATCATAACCTTTACAGCCACCTGTCTTTTCCATTTTTATCTTGGCTGCTGCCACGTATCTTTTTCTCTAGAGAAATCAGAGGCTTTTCCAGCCCAGAGGTAAAAAATCATGTGCTTTAGACTTCCCAGCCACTTGTCCTTGTGGCCCAGCAAGCTCCATGGGGTGAAATCTACTTATTGATTTTCCTAGTGACATGAAAGACTTCACTATGATGAACACTTTTGCTCACTTGCCACAAGTGCTACCCTATGTCCTCTGAGTAGGCCTGGTCCAGTGTTTTCCTATTAGGCAAGCAGAATTGAACCACCAGTATGTGTTGGACCTATATGGCTATTGACAGGCAGGTGACAGTGACACAAGAGTAACATCCTGGAAGTCCACTCCCACAAGGTGGGTGGTGGGAAGCTTTTAGGGAAGCAGTTCTAACCTGTGGGTCACAACCCCTTTTTAACAATGAAAGTACATTGCGGCATTAGGAAAGTTGAGAACCACTTCTTTGGGGAATCATTGGCCAACTGTACGGATAGCAGACAGGGAAGTGAGAACCTGTACCTACTACAAGCAAAGAGGGCTTCTGGCTTTAGAATTCCCAGTTACTTGTCCTTGTGGCCCAGTGCAAGGCTGTGGCCTCAGTGAAAAGGCATACCAGTTTAGCAATGGTATGCTGCTGTGCGCAGGCATTCAGAAGGGACACTGGCTATCTTCTGAATCACAGCTATTCTTCTGCCCTTCCTCCCATTGCCCTTCCCAGCACTTCTTTTCATGCTTTTAAGCTTTATATCGCCCATAGCTAGCTTCATACCAGGCCAACTTGCCTGACATGTATTGAGGACCTTCCCTGTGCAAACTAATGAGTCAGATGTCAAGGGGTTTAACTTAGAGTTGAACCAGTGGAAAAAAAGCATACACTAGTATGGAGGAAAGGTTCATTTAAGTGCCAAAACAGCCCAGCAGAGGGAGCAGGTTTTTTCCAGCAGGTAGAATCAAAATATCTGGATAAGAGGTAAGAGGTTTCCAAATGGTTTGGTATTAATGATTCTACTTTTTCACTTTTTTTTTTTAAGACATAATCTCACTCTTTCACCCCAACTAGAATACAGTAGTGTCATTAGCACAATCTCAAATTCCTAGGCTCAAACAATCTTCCTGCCTCAGTCTCCCCAGTAGATGGGACTCCAGGCATGTACCACCATGCCCAACTAATTCTATTTTTTGTAAATATGGCATTTTGCTTTTTTCAGGCTGGTCTTAAACTCATGATCTCAAACTATCCTTCTACCTCTTCCTCCCAAAATGCTAGAATTATAGGTATGAGCCACTGTACCCAACCAGTGTTATGATCTCTAACATTATGGACAGGGTCATTGGCCAAAAGTGAACTACTGATTATGTTTCAGTTTCTGTGGCAGTACCACATTCTTTTGCACATAATGCCCCGTGGCTTCTTCCACAGTCAGGCCCAGATTGGCAAGACAAACAGACAGTGTAAGCCAGCTCTGCTTGTGTCTCTACATGAGGACCAAACCACCCAACTAAAGGGTGGTAGATGGGGCCCTAGGCCCCAGCCATGCAAGCTTCTGGCTGCCAAGCCCTGACACTATTGTATCGAGGACTTGAAAGTGCTTATTATTTGGCAGCACTAATGGCTGAGTGTTTGACAATGCTTTTTCATTATCCCTGCCCTGAGTTCTTGGCATTTCATCTGAGGTTGAACCCATTAAAGAGCAAACTTCACAAGGATCCTAAGGTTCTCCAGGTTCAATAGACCCTTTCACTAGAGACATAACTGAATATTGTCACATTTGTCCTAAGCTAATGTATTGTGGCTTATTTTCCAGCAGAATAGACCTCCTTTTCTACCTTTTGTCTTGTCAACAATACAAATAAGCTGTTTTTTGGTTTGTTTGGGGTTTTTTTTTTGCAGTTTTGGACAGGGCCGGGCTCGAACCCACTACCCCCAGTATATGGGATCAGCACCCTACTCCTTGAGCTACAGGCGCCTCCCAATAAGCTGTTTTTGAAAGTGACTTGACTTGGGTTTTTATAATATAGCAAAGTATGAAATGGAAAAGTCTCAATACCCAAGGCATAGCCTTAAAAAGCTACATAAATTTGATTCTGTGGAAGGCATTATTGTCTTATGGAGTGGTATGTATCCCAGTGATAGATTAAATGTAAGGACCTTGACCCAGAGCATCCATGGACATTTGTTGAACAGTCCAATAGTTTAAATGGGAACAAACCTGGGTCTGGTGGCTCATACTTATAATCCTAGCACTCTAAAAGACCAAGATAGGAGGATTACTTGAGCCCAGGATTTCAAGACCAACCTGAGCAAGAGTGAGACCCTGTCTCAAAAATATATATATATATATACACACATACATATACATATATATATATATATGTATGTATGTATAGAAGTTAGCTAGGCATTATGGCACGTACCTGTAGTCCCAGCTACTAGGGGAGCCAAGGCAGGACAGTCACATGAGCTCTGGAGTTGGAGGTTCCTGTGAGCTACCATGATGTCCCTGTGCTATAGCCAGGGTGACAAAGCAAGTCTGTCTCAAAGAAAGAAAAAACCATAAACAAAAGATAACATACAGTGCTTCAGGAGAATTTTCAGCTAGTAATGAAGTTTTGGGGTTTTTGTTTTTTTTTTTACTCTTTATTCTATATACATGTGATTTTCAGTCTGTCATCAACTTTAGAGCATTAACAACTTTTAAACATTTGATTTTCTTTTTAGGTGATTGAAGTATATGACTTAACTAAAGTAAAGTTAAAATATTGGTAAGTTTTCTCCCCTGTTGGTATATGTCATACTTGGTACAGATAGGCCTTATCTACTATCTTTATTAAGGTAGTAAAGATTTCCATCTGTAGTAGTCCAGGAATTATAGCCTTGTGCCATGATTTCTTGAGGCAGCACCTAAGCCTGGTCAGTTTCCTGGATTAAAAGAAGTAAAGCTCAATAATAACAGGCTGTGGGCTCAGCACCTGTAGCTGGCTCGGCGCCTATAGCTCAAGTGGCTAAGGCTCCAGCCACATACACCAAAGCTGGTGAGTTTGAATCCAACCCAGGCCCACCAAACAACAATGACAACTACAACCAAAATAGACATGTGTTGTGGCGGGCGCCTATAGTCCCAGCTACTTGGGAGGCTAAGGCAAGAGGATCGCATGAGCCCAAGAGTTTGAGATTGCTGTGAGCTTGACGCCATGGTACTCTACCAAGGGCGATAAAGTGAGACTCTGTCTCAAAAAAAGAAACAGGCTATGTGTTAAATACTTCACATATGTGTTATCTAATTTAATCCTCCCAACAAAGTAGGACCTCAGCTCAGAGGTGATATGACAATCTCTGGCATTATAGCTAGCCTCCCCCACACGGCTTAGCACTTCTTTTAATGCTTTCATGAGCAACAAAAGTAGAACAGACCATATAGGTCTGACTCCAGAGTTATGCTAAAGGGAATGCCAAAGAGACCACCGCTTTAGAGCCAAAATATACTTTTTAGAATTATAGTGGGGATGACCAGTATAATCCATAGACACGTGAGCCCCACATCATAGCAAGGCACTATGGCAGCATCTAGAGTAGTCCTTTGAGTACACCTCACTAACGGGCTTCCCTTTTCTCTTTGTGAAGGTGTGAAGAGGACTTGATTCCTGGGGCAGGCTTAGGCAACTTTTGCTAATAAAGGAGCGGAAAAGTAGATGTGTGATAGCACTTGCCTCTGCAGGTTCTAATTTCTTTTAGTCTTGCTAGGGCCTTCATACCTCAGGGTCTGGTGGCTTCTCTTCTCTACCCTCTTGTTGAGAGTTAGTGGTATCTTGGGAAGCCCCAGAGCATCAACTCTATACTGTATGTCAGCCTCACAAGGATAAACCTGACCTCATTAATTCTCTTTTTAAAAGTTCTCTAATTAAGCTTTTAATTTCAATATAATTATAGACTTAGCTGCCTGCATTTTAAGAATAACTCTTCCCATGATCTGTGAACCCATCTTATGAACTGTGTTAAAAAAAATATTTTTGAGGCTCGGCACCTATAGCTCAACCGGCTAAGGCGCCAGCCACGTACACCTAAGGTGGCGGGTTCGAATCCCCAGCCCGGACCCGCCAAACA